ATTTCTTTCTACATAAACAGCAATTATAACAGTAACATAAATTTATTGTGATCCTTTCTATTCCGAAGATATGTTAGAGTGCATACAATCTAAGATGTTCTATGTTGTGTCTTGTGTACTATTATTTGTCTGTTTGTCTGTTTGTCTTTTTCTTTTTTAGCCATGGCGTTGTCAGTTTTTTTTTTTCTATCTATGAATTTGACTGTCCTTTTGGTATCTTTTGCCCCTCCATCATCTTTTAAAAGTATTAAGCATTTGACTGTTTGACACTTTACACTAGTATTCCCCTTTCCAAACTAGAAAGAAAAAAATAATAAAAAGGGTTGTGCTTTGTTTAAGAAAAATGACTGGCCTGCCAAGGCAATGGGCTGAACGCAGAACGGTTGATTTGCTTTATTTCTTGATTGACAACATATTTGTTACGTTTCGAGAACGCGTTTTCAACAAACAAGCGGCATTCCCACAAGAACGAGATGTGCTCATCGGCTTGAATTCATATGCGGGGTCTTCTTACATCAGCATCCTAGGAAGAATAAAACGAAGCTTGAACTTCACTATTGATCATGTTTTTTTCTTTAAATAATACAAATTTTGTTGACTAGGATGGATGCATCTATCCCGTTGAACTTGACATAAAAGATACATCAGATACATTTATGTCTGCCTTGTATTTTGACTTTCATCTGAAATTGACAATGAGGTTTGGTTGAGAACAATACATTTCGACGAAAGGTATAGTTTCATTTTCCCAGTTGTGACCTTTCAATTTCTATATAGTTAAATCTCAGCAATTCCTGCATATGGCGTATACATGTCCCAGCTTTTACGATTTTTTTTTGTCAATTACTGTTCACAATGTTTTTGATAGACAGTTGCTGCTCATAAGAAAGCTTTTAAACAATAGTTTCAAGTGTTGAAATTGAATCATTCCTTCAAATTTTTGACAGACGCCATCAAACGTTGAGAGTTGACTGTTACATAAAATATGTTTCACTAATGATGACGAATATGTTCCAATTGTGAAGTAGACTTATATCCATCTAATGAGTTAAGCCTTTTTCAACAGAGTTTCATAGTGCGTTCTTATGTTGGACTGTTACACCACTGTCCAAGATTAGGGGAGGGTTAGAGCTTTCAAACAAGTACACCACCGCCACATTCTGTATGTATGTGCCTGTCCTAAGTCAGGAGCCTGTAAATTAGTGGTTGTTGTTTGTTGATGTGTTACATATTTGTTTTTCGTTCTTTGTTTTTTACATAAATTATGTTGTTAGTTTTCTCGTTGAATTGTATTACATTTGTCATTTCGGGGCGGAATATGCGGTATTGGCTTTTCTTATTGTTAAAGGCCGGACTGTGACCTATAATTGTTAATTTGAGTGTCATTTGGTCTTTTGTGAAGAGTTGTTTTATTGGCTAGCATATCACATCATTTTTTTTTTATTATCGCCGGGTTTTGTTTACTGTTGTTTGTCGTTTTGCATTTTGCTTCTTTTATTTTGCCACTGCGTTCATTTTCTTCTCGACATTTAAGTTTGAATGTCCCTCTTGTACCTTTTGCCCGTCTTTATTATAAAAATATTGGATAAACAAATCATTTACCATATGAAATTCATCTAAATTTTGTCAGATTTTGAAATGGCACTTTATATAAATGATAAAAACCTGCAGTTCTCCAATTGTAAATCCAGAAAAGCGCTTCGGACGCATGAAATTATTAAACGTGTTGTTTTCAATTTTTTACATCACTGGGTCGATACCTCTGCTGGTGGACTATCAGTCCCCGAGGGTATCATCAGCTCAGTAGTCAGTACTTCGGTACTGACATGATTTATAACAAACCTTTCTAAAATTGTCCGTTGTTAAATTTTGAAATTATAAAGAAACTAAGGTTTCAACTCCCTCAGGCAAAGTTGACCTTAGATGAATTTGGCTATTTGTTTTAATATTTTTGTCATATAGCTCTTGAACTGTTTCGGTACTTATACATCCCTCGGATTTCAAATGTTTGGCTGTGAGCGTTCCTGATGAAGGTAAATCCAGAAAAGCGCTTCGGACGCATGGAATTATTAAACGTGTTGTTTTCAATTTTGTAAAGTATTAAACAGAACCATTTTACGTTTAAACAATAGTTCTAAACGAGAATCATCCGAGTTCCCTATACACCATACATAATTTGTACTATTACTAATACAGATGGGTGCGAAAAAGTTAACTTGGAGCAGACTTGTTGACTGCTTTCCAAGTTAACTTGAGAAATTTAAAGCAGACAAGCAAGTTAACTTCGTTGTTGGTAGACCGGACCTACGGTCTGCTTTTTTAGGACAGCTGCAGACCTATTGACAGGTTCCTGACCAGACCTGTAAACAGTCTGCTTTTGACCAGTCCTGAGAACAGGTCTGCCCCAGACCAGACATGTGTACATGTCTGCTCCTGCCCAGACATGTGGACAATTCTGATATTGACCAGACCTGACGACAGGTCTGTTAATGACAGATTACCGTGTTTAAGACTTTTCATATCAGATCTGATCTTTTAATATGTAATCGCATTGTTCTTTTTTCCCAATATAACAACAGTGTACCATTCCCAGAAGAGAAATTCTTATACTTTTCATTATAAAGTACAAATGTAATCATGCAGACATGTCAGTGTTGAATGATGCGGTCAAATAGTTTTGTTATACACTCCATCCTGAACTACAAATTTAGTGACGCTGCAATATTATGTATATAGAGATCAAATGCTGACAATCTAAATTAATCGAGAAAATTTTTTGAATTCATTGTTTTCCAATATAGCTTTCATTTTAATTATACAATCCATCCTGACATAGAAAAAAAAAACTGATTTATAATGCAGGCATATAGATTTATATACTAAAGTGCAAATATGGTCAGTTTTGGTTGATACGTTCAGATAAATGTGCTATACCAGTCAGCCAGAGGTATCAAAACAACTGACAGTTTGTTAATTACCAATATACCATGTATATTGAACAAAAGGAGGATATGCTGACACTCTAAATGTATGTGGACAAGATTTTGTAGTTATTATGTTCCAATATTGCTGTCATTTGTATTATTCATTCAATTCTGTCATAAACATATTGCTGATTTACTATGCAGCAATATAGATTTACAAAATAAAGTGCAAATATGGTCAGTTTTGGTTGATGTGGTCAATTACTTTTGTTATAGAAGGACGTATCATAACTACTGAAATTTTGTTGCGAGACAATATTTTGAATAAAAACAGTTCATGCTGTCAATGTAAATGCATGCGGACACAATTTTGTAATCACATTGTGTTTCAATATTGCTGTCATTTGTATAATACAATACATTCTTACATATAATATAACTGAGTTATTATGCAGCTATATAGATTTACAAAATAAAGTGAAAATATGGTTTGTTTAGCTTGATGCAGTCAAATAATTTTGTTGTACAAGTCAGCCTGAGGTATCAAAATAACTGAAATTTTGTTAAGTATCAATATATCGAACAAAAGGAGTACATTTTGGGACTCTGAATTGATGCTGCCAAAATTTTGTAGTAATTTTTTTCTAATATTGCTCTCATTTCTATAATACAATACATCCTGACATAAAATTTTACTGAATTATTATCTGGCTGTATAGATTTATATAATAAAGTGCAAATATGGTCAGTTTTGGTTTATGCGGTTAAATTATTTTGTTAAAGGAGTCAGCCTGAGTAATCAAAACTACTGAGATTTTGTTGCAAGACATTATTTTGAAAAAAAAGAGGACATGATGGCACTCTTAATGTATGCGTACAAAATGTTGTAGTCATTTTATTCCAATATTGCTGTCATTTGTATTATACAATACCTCCTGACATAAAAATATTACTGAATTATTATGCGGCTATATAGATTCACATGATAAAATGCAAATATGGTACGTTTTTGTTGATACGGTATCAAAACTACTGAAATTTTGTTACGTATCAATATATTGAACAAAAGAAGGACATGCTGACATTTTAAATTTATGCAGACAAAATTTTGTAGTCATTGTGTTCCAATTGTGCTGTCATCTCTGTTATAAAAATATTGCTGATTTACCATGCATGTATTGGAATAAATAGTCAATGGCCGTAAGCATTGGAACCAACATCGTTTTTAATTTATGCTGACATTTTAAATTTATGCAGACAAAATTTTGTAGTCATTGTGTTCCAATTGTGCTGTCATCTCTATTATAAAAATATTGCTGATTTACCATGTGGCAATATTAATTTACATGCATGTAATAAAGTGCAAATATGGTTTATACCATTTAAAGAATTTGATATGTATTGGAATAAATAGTCAATGGCCGTAAGCATTGGCACCAACATCGTTTTTTAATTTATAGAAAAACAGATCACGGATAAATATCAATTTGTATAACAAGAACAGTTTTATGCGTACTTTATTTAAAAATACAGGTATTTAATAGTGTAACTTTTTATATCAAGGAAGTATTAAATTGACTTTATATTTCTGTATTGGTGCCTTTTATATTTATACCAAGAAACAAAGACATTATAAAATATATTTGTTTTTTAAATTGATGTAGAGCGGTCCTGGTTCCAAGTTAACTTTGTATTAAGCAGACCAGCCAAAAGTTAATTTTAGATCAGGTCTGGTTCGGTTGGAGTTAACTTATCTTAATTTATGGTAGGACTGGTTTCGAAGTTAACTTTTATCAGTAGCGGACCTGTTTCTACGTTAACTTTTCGGAATACATAAAAACAGTCCTAGGACTGAGTCCGCCTTTCATGTTAGCTACATTGTGGTCCTAGGACTGGTCTGAGCAGTCCTAAATCCGGTCACAGGTTAACTTTGACCAGACCAAATGATTGGTTATCAAGTTAACTTGCTGTATAGGTTAGGACTGCAGCCATCTGTATGCTAAATATTCTACCTTGTTTGTAAAACAATTTAAGCTGCAATATACGAGAACATATCTTTCTTTTGTTTTGGTACAGAGCATGCAGATGATTTTTCCGTGCACTACAAAAGCTACTACTGTAATTGAAAAGAATACAAAGGTAAGATTAAGAATCGACTATTTCAATGCTTTCTCCGTATATCATTTCTAGATCAATGTTGATTCACGTTTTTTTTTTATTTTGATACATATTATATATAAAACACCGTAACTAAATTTTGTATTTTGCATTTAATGTTTGATTTTTGTATTGTTTACCACAAACCTAATCGACAAGCACTTGTAGTATAGCGTCTTACAAATAAAAAATTAATTGTATTTAAAAAATACATTACCATGATATTGTCAATAGTAGAGAATACTCTGCAAAAGTGACTATAAAATCAGGTCTATATGATCTACATTAATATTTACCCAGTAAGTCAACATAACAGGTAAGATTTTACTGAAACATGAATTCAATGTGATTCCTCTGTTGATTTAAGGGTCAGTTCTGAATCTAATTTGAAAATAATAACCATCATTCCGATAAACCAACAGTTGGACAATTATAACATACAAATGGGTATCGTATGACTTCTTTATCCTAATACTGCCCGTATTCAACATGATAAATATTCCGGCAATGTTTCGATCGTGATGAAATATTTTATGATAATATTCTGGCTTTTTATTCGGCTATACCAACGTTGTAAATGAACGATGGAGGTGAAAACGAAATTATCGTGTCACAATTAAAATAACGCGACGATTCGGATGCAAATGAAAACAAAAGTGAAACTGACAAGTCGGAGACTGGTGCAGCCAGTTTCTTAAATTTATATAGCCAGTGAATAAGTGTTTGAAAACAACGATCATACAAAGTTATAACCTTATTATATGTCGGTGTTTCTTCTATATCAAACTGTTAACCAAATATATCGTATAAGTTTAGTTGACCCAAAACTAAAATCAAATAAATGAACTGGGTGATTATTATTTGTAATAGTTATCCCATGAGGACGCGGGTGATCTCACACTGACACACCAAGTCCGAATGGGATAACTATTTTACATCCAAGCTGTTCTATATTATATGAAAAAAACATTAACAATTCAAAAAATCCAGTTTAGACCGCCACACATCCATTATAATATACTTTATATATTACTATATAATATAAACCCTTTGTGACCCCCGATTACGATGTTTAAATATGAAACCATGTCAACTCGCCACACTGGCCAATCGGCCCCACACTAAATCGCCACTTTCTAAAAAATCGGCCCACTCTTGTTTACCAACTCGCCAAACCTATGAAAAGTTTTAAAATCCCATTGAATAAAGGTCTGCCAACTCGCCCCACTTATGAAAAATAGAAAATCCACGATGGATTTAGTCTTGACAACTTTCCTCACTCAGATACAGTCTTCACTTAAATAGTACTAAAGTGGGGCGCTATTTATAAAAAAGGGGCGAGTTGGTGAAAAAGTTGGGCGATTTCGAGTGGGACGAGTTATCTTGTTTCCTTTAAATATGTTTAATTACTAACAGTTTGTATCCAGTCGTCCGGGTATAGGGGTTTGACGTGTGGAGTTATATGCTAAAGGTCTTTAGTTCGAACCCAAGCATAGACAATGGATTTTTTCAACACAAATTTTGAAAGTTAGTCTTTTCCGTATAAATATTTCTAAGTGTTATTGTGGATTTACCATTCCCGCCAAAAAGTTACAGAACAAAGGAAAGCATGCAGAACAAGGAAACTTCAGCTGGGGTGATCTGGTAGGGGTGATCCGGCTTAGATCACCCCTGGTAGAACAAAGGAGATGGGATGTAATTACCATAACACACGAATACAACAGAAAAAAATAAGATTTACAACTACAAACGATAAGATATTTGACAAAATCCGATGAGAATAACAAATATCACATCAAAACTAAATACATGAATTTTGGATAGAAAAGTACCGTGACACATCTTATAGCAATGCGAATTAACACTCAGCAAAACAGTCAAAATCGGGAATAAGTCACGTTCGGTAATTAAAAGATCAGACCAAACGACGTGTTGACAAACCACAATCTAACACGTGTGAAAATGTCCTTAGTTAGTTTGGACAAAGACACATCGTATGGATCAAAATATTCGTGATGTTGTCCATAAAATGTACGGAGTGTCATTTTTTATCTTTCCTCCTCATAACTTTGTTGGAGCAGTTTCTGAATTAGGATCACACTCCTGTATATGAAGTCCGTATAGTGTGAACATGCACGACCATAACGTATCAACTGAGATATGTAAACACCATACGAAGTGGCAGAGGGTATGTTCCTGCTGAGAAATGGTAAATTGATAATTGGGAAGTTGAAATCGTCCCGTTTATCATAGATTTTTGTGTTAACTAATTTGTATCAGTAAATAATAAAATAGAGATGATGATCGAATATCAATTGGTATATAATGAATAGATTTTATTATTTGAGGACTCAGGGTTTGTTAATCGGTCTCGGATAATGATATATTCTATCTGTCTAAAAAAATCATTGTGATTTGCAAATTGTCTAAAAATAATTGATGGGATTACATCAATTAGGCCCTTATCTCCAAGAAGTGGAAAGTGATCTGGAGAATTGTGTATTTATATCAAAAAAGATATTCGGAAAGGCTTTGACACCATAATGGTAAAAACAATGTCTGCTTATATCTGTAAAAATCGGACATACCAGTACAACATGGAATTGATCTTCGATCATTGTCTATAAGGGAATGAAACGGATTAATTATCTCTAATAAAAAAAGGTTTTATATATGAATTGTATATTTGAATATTTCAAGAATACGTGAAAACTTGGCTTGTGAAAATGCTTATGACGTATTTGAAACTGAGAACAGCCTTTGCTGTTTTAAGTAACAACTATGTCTCGAATGTGCTCTAATACATAAACACATAGCTGTAATATAGTTTTATTTTAGACAATTGTTAATTATATGTACTTTTTGATTGTCAGTATAAATACACACTGTTGATATTAACGATTTAACATTGTTTAAGCAAAAATAAAACATAAACAGACCTACAGTTGTTAATTTCTGTGTCATTTTGGTTTCTTGTGAAGAATTGTTTCATTGACAATATTACCACATCTTCTTTTTTTTACTATCTGATTTTTTGAAATATTATTAACTTTTTTCCATTTGTATTTGACTCAATTTTTTCTCATTAAATGCATCGTATTCTCTATTTAGTAAACATTACTATGCAAGATGCGCATTTGTTATTCTAATTCATTATTTTCATTTCGTTATATTATTTTATGAAGATACCGCGACCTTCATTGATGGAAAAAAAACTACTGTCGGCAGAAGAAAACAAAGACGTCGTATATGAATTTGATGCTTTTGTTGCTCAATCTTCACTTGCCAACAGCAACGATAAGTTGCAAATGCAAGCAGTGGAAGAAATCAGTCAAGAATTAAAAAAAAAGAACCTGCAAATTTTGTCGGAGAAAGATTGTTTAGGACAGGACTGGTTGGAAACCTTAAAATTCGCTGCAACTAAATGCCGCTGGGTTGTGCTTTTAGACGAGAAACAGGATTCTCCAACACCAGAAAAGGGTTGGTTTGATAAAATGTCAAAAGGCATATGGTCGGAGAACAAAACGTTGATGTCCTTCACAATTGCTGCTGCATTGAAAAGTATACTTGAATCAAGAAAAGTCCAAACAGTTGCCGTTGTCAATAAAAGCGATGAATTGCACATAAATGATGATCTAAGATGGGTTACCTGCATTCCTTACAGTGACATCACCACAGATATAGTTCACACTTTGTTCAAAGTTTTGAGCGGTAATTTTCATTGTTCATTGTTAGTTATTTGTTCTCATATTATCTTATAGAACTTACATGTAAATAAAGGCAACATTAGTATACCGCTGTTCGAAACTCATAAATCGATAGAGAAAAAAACAAATCCGGGTTACAAACTAAAACTGAGGGAAACGCATCAAATATAAGAGGAGAACAACGACACAACAGAAACACAACAATAAAATGTAACACACATAGAAACGAACTATAATATAACAATGGCCATTTTCCTGACTTGGAACAGGACATTTTAAGAAAAAAAATGGTGGGTTGAACCTGGTTTTGTGGCATGCCAAACCTCCCGCTGTAATGTCAATGTTAAATATAACATTAAAATGACAACATTACATGACAAGACTACAATACAAATAAATGGGAGAACATATAGGACAGAGAAACACACGAATAATAGCTAACAAAAAGTACCAGGTTTAAAATTTAATACGCCAGACGTGCGTTTCGTCAACACAAGACTAACCAGTGACGCTCGGACGAAAAAAGTTCGAAAGGCAAAACAAGTACAAAGTTGAAGAGCACTGAGGACCAAACGTTCCAAAAAAGTTGTGCCCAATACGGCTAGGGTTTTCTGCCTGGGATAAGAACATCCTTATTATTTAGAATAATTCATACTTTTGCAAACCGTAAATTTTATAAAAAAATGACTATATAATAGATATACATGATAAAACTGAAGTGGTGACTAACTACAGAATAAAAACGGATACATTACATAAAACAACCTAATCTAGCACATAAAAATACACAGCCGAGTTACCCAAAGCCTCAACGCACAAAGTGACGTTAAATTTGAAATTCTAAAAACACACACAAAGTGACGTCACATTTGAATTTGTAAAAATATTTCCCAAAAATACGATAGAATAAGGATTGATTTAAGATTAGATTTGTAATACTGGTATTACATTTATTATTAACAATGAAAATTACAATACTTATTGATATCAAATTGTGGTAGTAATTAGATAATTGATTGTATTATCTAGCTATGTCGGTGTTTCTTCTAAATCAAACTGTAAACCAAATATATCGTATAAATTTCGTTGAACCAAACTAAAATCTAATATCTAAACTTTTCATCATATTATCGTATGTCTTCAAAGTTCACCATCACGATACATAAATACACTTTTTCTATTGTAATATTTTCGTTGCTTTTACGGAAACTTAGCATTTGTAGTTCAACAGATACACAAAATCGTATGTACGTTTTGTTAATAGTAAAAGTCAACTTTCGTTACTTTAAAAAAACAATCATTGTTGCATTTAACATTTCTAGGTTCGGACGTCGAACTGGATAGGTCGGCAGATTTATATCTGAGACCAGGAGAAGCTGCAGTTGGATTGGCATGGGGTTATGCAGTCAATTACCTTAACAAGGTTTTGCCAGGTTAGCTATGATATAAGTACAGGCAACAGTATTATACCGGTGTTTAAGAGACATAAATCGATTTAGAGACAACAATTTCAGGTAACAAACCAAAACCGAGGAAAACAAAAGAACAACAGGAACACTGAAGTGCAACACAAACAAACGCCAACATACAATGAAACGAACTATTCGGTAAAGTCAGCCGTATTTCTGACTTGGTATAGGACATTTAACGAAAAAATGTTTGGTTGATCCTGGTTAAAGGGCTTGCCAAACCTCCCGCTTTTATGGCAATGTTCAAAAAACATATAGCTTAAATGACAACACTACGTGACAGAAATACAGCACAAAATACGCAAAAACACTCATCACTGAGAAACTGAAAGCACAATTAATATAGTAGTCAACATAACATGCAAATAAACTCATTATAGATACCAGGATTAAATCAAACCACAGAAAACAACAAACATCTTTCAACAACGACAGACGCCACTGATCATCACAAACAATGACGCACTTCTATGATGATAAAATTTAGAATGGAAATGAGGAATGTTTCAAATAGACAACAACCTGACCATAGAGCAGACAACAGCCGAATGCCACCAATGGGTCTTCAATGCAGCGAAAAACTCCCGCTTTAGGAGGCATCCTTCAGCTGGCCCCTAAACAAATATGTATACTAGTTCAGTGATAATGGACGTCATACTAAACTCCAAATTATAAACAGGAAACTATCATTAAAAATGATACAAGACTAACAAAGGCCAGAGGCTCCTGACCCTCTAGCCAATGTGGAAAAAACAAACGCACAACAGTACGCACAGTAAAACTCAGTATAAGAGAAGTCTTATTTTTATTTTATTTTCTGTAACGAATACGTAATCTTGAACTCCACACAATTATTTTCTCAACATAAGTCCAAGCAATTTCACGACAATGATGATATTGAAAGGCAATTTCAAATTCTGTGATGAGAATGGAAATTATCAGTCATTAACAAGATCAAAGGAAAATTTCGTGAAATAGCGATAATTTATATTTTAACAACATTACAAGTTGTGAATCAACTGGCAGTCAATCAACCTAATTTTCTTTGCAATTTCCATTTGTTATTTCGTAGAGGTGAAACGAAAAAGGGCAGAAATAATGAAAGATCGCGGAATCAATAACTTTGAAAAAAAGCTGTTTATTGTCGTCCCAGAAAGCTGCAAAATAGAGGCAAATTTAAAAGACGTCAGCAAATTAACAGACACAACACCAACAAAAGGATCCCAAAGATCCTACCAGTTAACTGCATACCAGTTACATGACGATGAAAATACGGTAAATATATGTTTACATTGGGAAAAGTTGCGCTTCGTTCTTGATCTGATGATCCATTGTCTTCATATTTTTAATCGTTGTGTAATTGTACCGTTGCATAAAAAGTACTGAACTCAAAAATGAAAGTCCCTAATTAAATGGCAAAATCAAACGCTCAAACACATCAAACAAATGGATAACAATGTGGATTGAACCTGATTTTATAGCTAGCTGAACCTCTCACTAGTATGACAGTCGCATCAAATTCCATTATATCAACAACGATGTGTGAACAAAACAATCAGACATAATAGGTAAAAAATGTCAAAATCAGGGGTACAGCAGTCAACATTGTGTTATTATTTTAATCACTATAAAACAAACAAAGAAGCACAAAAAGGCACATTACTGTCCTATGTATTTTAAAAGGTGGATAACTCATCGACATAATTATTCCCGTCAAATATCATACGTATCTATCTATCCAAAACCAGAAGTCAGTAATCCAACATTGTTCGGATGATATGGCCTTTCATATTTTTTTGAAATTGATTTAGTGGTTCTACAATTAATCATGTTATCTGAATGTTCTATAAAATTTAGCCAAACTTTGGATCTGAATGTTATTTTGTTTAAACTTTGTGTGTTTTGTTTTATGTCTGCCTGCAAACAAACATGACAACCATTGTAAACAAAAACAATTCGGTGAAAATGTATTTAATGTCTATTAATAACAAAATAGAAATAACTGAATCTGATAGAGCCAAAATCACAAGAGAGTCAATTTCTACCTACTGCTGCTTTCTCAAAACTTAACAGATGACTTATTGCCCTAAAATTACATTTTTTTACAAAGTAAGTTTTTGCTCTTTATTTTAAAGACTGAAACACAATTCATATAAAGTGTTAAAAAATGTCAGCATTACAATATCTTCAACCGCAACCATTGGAGGATTCCTTATTTTCTTGGTTTTTGTTTGCTGATTTTGAGACGCTGCCTTCCTAGTGTTCCCAATATGTAACCTTATACAAGTATACAATAAACTCATTATATATACCAGGTACAACAAAATGTACCCCAGACACGCGTTTCGTCTACAGTATCAGTGCCGCGTGAACAGCTAAGAAGTTCAAGTAAAGTACGAAGCTAAAGAGCACTGATATTTCGAAAGGTTTTGCAAAATTCGGATTAAGGTAACCTATTCCTGCGGAAGACGTAGCATACAATAAACATCATAATATTAAGTGCTGACATAACAACCGTAGCCCATCAATACAGATGGGTGTACGTGATAACCAGTCGTTTTGATAGGTCACAATTAAGCTGCTGTAGGCTTTAGAACTGATCCGACCTGGCATAGGACCCAATTCAAGAAAACATCAAAATCAGACTTTGTCCCAGTGATTTTCATAACTCTGACAGGTACGTTTAAGAGCCAGTCTGCCATAAAACCATGCAAAATCCCAAATTTCGTCCAAATTGGTAGTTACAACTTGCCAAAATTATATATATTTCCAAAAACTTTAGGTGTTCAGGAGTTAAGATAAAAAAAAAATTTTTGTTGTTAATTTGCGCTATTTTCCATTAAACCGCCTGATTTGCATATTAGTGAATTATTTTAAAAAATGGCTAGAAAATACACCTTATTTAGGCACTTTTTAAGGGTCTGGATAATTGATATAGCATTTAAATGAAATATTATTTTTACCATATTGTGAAGGAACATTAGTTTTAAACCAAAAAAATAGCTTTTTGAGAATTTCGGACCTTTTGGCAGGTTGCCAGAAAGTTCGCGCAACAGATGTTATAAACAACTTGTATATACTACATGTACTCAATAGCAGTTTCCTCTCAAGATCATATTTTTTATTCTTAACTTTTATAATATTGTGAAAGGTGTATATCAGTTCTAAGACAGGTAAAAATTTTCAGCTTGGCAAATAATGGAAAGTTGATCAAAAATACTATTAAAATAACCATAAAATGCAATAATTCTAATTGTTTTTGTTTCTTGTTATTTAACTAAAATTGCTTAAAGTAGGTGGTAACTGGGCTAAAATTGATTTATTTTATGTTGAAAAATATTTCTGGCTAAATGTTTGTTTTTTTTTTTTGTTAATTTGCAAAATTTAACTTTAAGTTACCCAAAGGTAGCCTCAAGTTATTTTTGTGGTTGAATTGTCTCCCTTAGTGGAAATCTTTCACTGGCAATATGGCAGCTTCCAGTTATGAAAATCAGACGTCTCTGTTCGGTCCGATTTTTCTAATCTTGGAGGTTGTTGTGGACAATCAAAACCCTATACAACTCATCTGTTAGGCAAGGTTTATCTTTGTACAAAGGACACCACCACCACCTTGAATTTATCCACCGCACTGAGGGCAGTGAGGCCTGTTTATCAAACTTTCCACATGTTCCAGGAGGACTACTAGTATTTTATACACATAAGTGACATTGCTTTCTGTTGATCGTGCTGCTATGAAATTGTCAATATGTCCATGCCGATGGCACAGAGACGTTTTGGGGATATATTGGCGGGACTATTCAACAAAGTGTGGATTCAAAGATCGTCCTGCTGACATTTAGGCAAAACTCCAAAAGGTGAAAAGCTGATAGTGATGGAGGAACCACACTAACCCTATCATAAGAATACTGACTTTTGTAATGACAACTAATTCCAAAAGGGTCAGGTAAACTACAAAAATAAATTAGTTAATTATGACAGGGATGGATCTAGCCAATTTAAAAAAAAGGGGGGGAGGATGGTGGTTCTTAGGAGGATAAAAAGGGAGGTTCATCCATGTGTCCCTATTCAAAAGCATTAATCAGCAAAAAAAAGGAAAGGTTCTAACCAACTGGTCCCTAGTCCAAATATATATGACGTCTTGAAAGGCTATTTTATTTTTTTTGCTTTGACATGCTTGACGCCTTATTGCGACGCAGGCGCCATAGGCATAGCCATAAAATAAAATGGCCTTTCAAGACGTCATAATTATGTTGACCACCGGTCCCTCCCTGGATGGATCCACCACTGTATTATGAAAAGATTAATTTTTAAAACTGCCACATATGCATGACATAGTGGCGAGGTATATAATTATGTGATACAATGAACATATATACATGTATATGGAAAAAGGCATTTATTTCTAATACATGTAGATATGTGATATATGCAACATGCACAACCACCATCTAATTGCGAGCTGTAAATTACCAGAAATGAGTCATTAAATATAAAAAAAAACAACCTGCACTAAATGTACATGTATATATGGTCTAGATACAAAAAATTGTAAATTATAAATATCTATTGAAGCAAGGACATATCGGCGGTATTACATGTACATGTAAAAACCAACCTATAATATATTCCTTAGTTGGAAAGGGCACACATAAATGTAGTGAGGTTAAACTTGTTTTGTTTTTGTCACTAAAATCTCAATTCACCTTTTATTTGTCTGAAATGAAAGCACAAAATCTAGGTTTTTATAGGGTGTGAGTTTCTCACTTGAAGTTGTATTACGTTTTACATGTGGTCCTGATATTCATTCTGCTTACTGACTTTAATAATGTCTCCATCATGTCCATGTATTCAAATGAGGCATGCCTTTTTGTAAATAAATTAGTTTCAACCTTTAATTTGATAAAACAGATTTTTCTATTATAATTTATCCGCTGGCATCATGCCGTAGAACAACAGGTTTATAAATTGATTGATTGTTCACGCTGAAACATTGCTCATCTGGACATTGACATGATCGTGTTTTATTGATGTTTTTAGTGTGTATGGTACCATTGACTGGCTGCATTATTCCATTTTTTCACAAAGGCATACATTGTAGGTCTCTGCAAGCAGTGTTTTACCAAGATTAGACAAACAGTAGCTGATGGAGGAATCATAGTTGATACAAAAAAGATTATGGTAAGAAAACATACATGTATGAGAATGTTATTGAATTTATAAAAAAAAAGAATTGATTTGAATTGATTGCAAATGTGACAATGCTCCACAAGAGACTAGATGACATAAAATTTAACAACTATAGGTCACTGTATGGCCTTCAACAATGAACAAAGCCCATACCGCATAGTCAGCTATCAAAGGCCCAGAAATCACAAATGTTAAACTATTTAGAATGAGTAAATATATGTACAAAACAATGAACGAAAAACAAATATGGTATACAGAAACAAACAACAACCACTTTGAGGTTAAATTCGTTTGAAGGCGCCAACCCTCATCTAACCTGGGACAGTAGTGTAATAGTACAACATAAGAAATCAGTCATGTGTCAGTTGAGGCTTAACTCATCAGATTGGCACAGAGCATAAATACATCTAACAAAATCAGAGATATGATGTGGCAGGGTTCTTATACATCCCCACATAGTTTATTTACAGGGGCAATTGAAAGGCATTTTGAAAATTTTAAACTGATTGTAAAATGTACAGAGATATATTTAGTGGGAAGGGGTGGAGGTTAGGGAATCATGAGACGACCAGTGGTAAAATTTTTAACCATTACCAAAAAAGTGATAATGTCAAAAATATTACTGTAAATTCTGAAATTATTGCGAGGTTTTTATCATTGCGAAAAATGCGACAGGGTTATAATCGCACTAATTTAAACTCGCATTTTGAAATTTACTATATGATTTAAACTGGATTTTTCTGAATATTGCAAAAATTAAATTCGCATTTCAGTCTAAAATTACATTACAAAATCTTAGTTATTAATGCACGCAATAATTTCTGAATTTACAGTACTGGGTATAGCTTTGTATTAGTTTTATCATGGACTTGGATTCAATCAAAAACCTCATATTAGAATTTCCTAATAAACATTTATAATTAGGTCATTATGACCTACATATTCACTTAAGTGACACGGGATATAGTCATAAAACATGTAGTATAGCTATGATATTTGACCAGTGAATAGGTTTTGGGTAGAGCAATAGGGTAAATGATAAAAATTAGGTCACCTTGACCTACATTTTCCACATGAGTGACATGGTTAAGTTTTTTGCATTAAGGTCAATATCTCGGGTACAAAATTGTACAGCTTTGATACTTAACCAGTGTATTGATTTTGGATAGTCCAACATGATTCACTTTTATAAAGGTAATGTTGACCTACATTTTCCACTTGAGCAACTTTGTAAATTTTGTGTGTTTAGGTCTTTCTGTAAGATAATAGACATGGTATTACATTGATACTTGACTATAGCTAGTGGATAGATATCTTGGGTAGTACAAAATTGTTACTATTGATAAGGTCACTTTGGCCTACAGTTTCTGCATGAATGGTTTGGTTAAGTTTTTGCATTAAGACATTGAGGTTTTATCAGATATACTAGATGTGGTAAAGCAATGATTTTACTCCACCAGTTGAGATATCTTATATATTTTTTTTTCATTGGGTCCCAACCAAAGAGATTTCATAGTTATCTCATATATCATGGACATTGTATATTTGAGAATTCATTTATCTTTAATTTAATAAGGGATATATTTTTTTTTTAAAGTACATTTGTAGATTTATTTTTTATCTTTTTAGATGGAGATGAAAGCCAAATTAAAGATACTCAGGTTCTCATAGGAGTATATTCACAGCATCAACTAATTTTTCATAATATTTAGCATCAGATTGGGAAACAGATAACATTTCTGACCAAGAGAAACTCAACAGAGGCTTGCATTTCCTTTGAAATGGAAAGTATCCACCATTTAGGAACCAATTGAATCTGGCATGGGATGATGTATCAAAAAAATCCAATGGCTTTTTCTACAAAATTATCATCAGAAATTATTGATTTGATTTTGAATTTTGTTTTACCTGCACAATACAAGTCGATAAAGTGTTCTGATCTGTAGTAGAAAAGAGGAAAACAGACGAAACACAATCAATATTACAACAGGATGTTTTGACTGAAGCTCTCATTGATGCATACTTACTAACTTAGACCTGAATAGTCATCCAACCTGGCTTCAGATCTTATCACTGTTTGCATGTTTTCAGACCGTTTTGCATGTTTCTCTTTATGGCAGACTCCGCTAATATTATATGACAGTAAAATTATAAGCAAACAGCCTGAATAGTTATATAACCATTTTAATTAAAATGTCTGCACGACAGTTGAACCATTTATCTGTATATTTGTTTTTATTCATGTAGGTATAAAATAAATTTTATTTCCATTTGAAATATTTTTGTTTGTCTGTGGTAGTAATAGGCTAACTCTTATTCACATGCCTCAAGTTATTTGAGGTTACATTCTATGAGGAAACTTAACATTGTTGTTATGTCGACTTTTATCCGAGAAGCTACATAGGGATCACTATTTGTCATTCATGTTAGCGTCACAAAATTTAAGTAACACTTTTCTCAGCATCTGCTTGATATTTGACAAAAAGCTTATAAAGATTAATTCCAATATAAAAAATGGACCCCCTTTTCTAGGTAAGAAGCACCAAGTCTCAATTTTTATATGTGTATGTAATATCATCAAATACAACATGTATTTAAATATCAAGACTGAACAAAAGTGGCCATATCCATTTTAGACAACAAATGTCTAAAATTAGCACAAATGCTAAAATTGTGAAGATTTCAGAAATTCTACATAAATTAATGATGATAGTACCTGTTGAATGTTCATAGTATTGTAAAACAACAGCCCATTAAAAATGATTTTAAAGTAACTGAAGTAGTCTACTTTTGAAAAGTGACTTCAATAAGTAGCGATAAGTTAATACATGTATTTTAAACAAATTGTAAAAATGCTAAATTTTGGGGCTTAAAAGGGGTCTTACCAGGCCTACTCCTGTAGTATATTTTCAATTAAAACTAAGTTAAACTGAGTTTAATCAATCAAGATAAGCAATAAACATTATATCTGTTATTATTTTCTTATATTTTTACTACCACATACATTTGTAAAGTTTCTCTTGTAACCAATAAAAAATTCATAAATAAGGCATAATTGACATCTTGTTCATCCTAAATTGTTATTTTATCGTAAGAAGGTATCATTTGCCGAGCCCCATTTTCTTGCATTTTGTAGATAAATATATAAGCTTCATGCTGTATTACATTTTATTAAAAACAAAACATGATCTTACAAGACAAATTTTGCTGAATCGGCACTTTTTCAAAACCATGCAATATCAACCTGCTAGTAGGGGTATTGAGAAATGTCAAACTTTGAAAACTATCCTAATTTTCTTTCATTTTAAGTTGTTTGTTAAGGTATTAATTATCATTAAGCTACAACTTTTCTATAATAGTACAAAAAACCAGGTCAAAATACCCTAAAATAGGCTTAAAATGGCCTTTTGTCAGTACAGAAATAGACAATTATCGAATGTTCTGCATACATATTGGCTGAATATTTTTTCAAAATATTTTGCACAAAAAGTTATTACATATAAGGTATCAAAAATACAAAATATCAGTCTGATTGGATAATTTTGGATTCGGACCATTTTGCATGATTTTACCACAGACTGGCTCTTAACAAAAAATGTTGGAACACATTAATTTGAACTGACCATAATAAATGCATTAAAAGGTAAGTAAAACAAATTATACAATTGTGAATGTAAACGTGGAATGTGTCAAATTCACAACAACTTTAAATTAACAACGATAAATAGGGGCAAGATAGAGATCTCATCAAGCATGTTAAACCACGCCACATTTTTGGGCCTGTCCCAAGTCAGGAACCTTTGGCGTTTGTTAGTCCTGTTTTGCTTTTTTTAATTATGGTTTAAGTATATGTTTCGGAGTGACGATTATTTTTGCTGAAAATGTATACCTTATTGTTTAGGGGCCAGCTGAAGCCTGCGTCCGGTTGCGGTATGTTCCCGATGTGTCAAAGAACACTTAGTGGCATTGTGCTGCTGTATGTTCTTTAGTCGGGCTATTATCTTTTTGAAGCAATTCTCGTCTTCATTCTCAATTTTGTCAATTTGAAAAACAAGTTTACTTAGTTTGAGCAATATAGCAATATATTTGCTATTCAGAAGTATACTAGTTTTATCTGCTTTTTTTTTACATTGTTCATGTTTGATTTATTGTACAGTCGGCGTTACTATCCAAAAGATGTCCCAAAATTTATAAACAATTGTGGGTTATGTTAATATAGTTACACTGAACTGTCAAATGTTTTATATATTTCATGTTAGATACATCTCTATTGTATAGAGTACTGCCTGTTTAGTTGTATGCATTCCAATTAATTCAAATTTCCCAACATTTTTGTTTTGTTTTTAAATATGGAGCGAAATAGGGGCAAACATTACCAGATGGACATTCAAACTCAAAAGTCGATAAATAAAAACTGACGTCATGGCTAAAAAAAACAAAAAAGATAACCAGATAAAAAAAAAATAGTACACAAAACACGACATAGAAAACTAAAGACTGAGCAACACGAACCGCACCAAATACTAGGGGGGAGTGATTTAAGGTGCTCTGGGAGCGTAAAAAGATCGTACTCCACGTGTAGCATCCTGCAAGGTGTTCATGTTAATATAAACCAAGTAATAAGTCAAATTATGTAGGTCACTTTCAAAAAAGAGGGACGCGGTTGACATATCGACATTAAGAACATATCCACTATCATCTATGAAATGGATATTTGGTTACGGTCTACTAACTTGTGATGGCGTCCGTAAACCTTAAAAAGGAATGATTTCATCTTCACCATTCAACTCATGGTTTAATAGTTTCCTAGCAGCAACCTTCTATCAAGGAAATAATGATATGAAATACGAGCTCTTGAATATCGTATCAATTGGTAGATATGTACTCCGTCTGCAGGCGCTGCTAGAATATGATACATAGAAATGGAACGTTCACGCTTATCACTTTTTCGATATAATTGCAATAATTTATTTCTATGTTAAATAGTGTTTTTTTGGCCAATATGCCCCACCAGTCGATGTGATATACCAAATGAAAGAGGCAAACATAATATCAGAAAAGCAGATGAAGACGGAAGTAATCAAATTTTACACCACTGTAGAAAAAATAATGGAGATATTGCTAAAAGGAAAACAAAAGGACTTTGAATTTGTCTACTACAATGGTAAGTTGTATGTGAATTATCAATTTACCATATAAATGTAGGATTACAAATTACCGAACTTCATGGAACATTTAAAGCAAAGTCTCATATCAAATATTAAAATTAAAAGTCCAAGCACATCTAACGAATGAATAACAACTGTCATATTCCTGACTAGGTACAAACATATCTTCGTGTAGAAAATGGGGGCTTATAGCTAGGTCAACCTCTAAAATGTATGACAGTCACATACTATTACATTGTATTGACAACAATGTGTGAACAAAACAAACAGACTATTTCGATATGTCGTATTCGGTCTGTTCAAACAAGACAGAAGGCTCCAGCGTTAGATTACGATCTGTTAAGACAGTTTTAGGCGAATTAAGGCATAACTTTAACATTAACGTTTAAAAGTTTCAGATCGGGTTAAAATCCATCCAGTGAGTCAGAATAATTTTAGGAGTTGCTCCCCCTCATGTGGATTATACACTTGAATTACAAAAAAATTGTAAAATATATAATACTTTCTGGTATGTGCTTTCTAGCCGGGCAAATTAGTGGTATTACACCTATAACAGAACCAAAATTACTATACTGACTTCAGCATGACTTTATGCTGTTCTTTTATCTATTTCAAACAATAAAAATACATCCAGCTATATTCTAAATACTAATTTCAAGCTCAGATTTGACTGGTAGTACCATATGGGTTATTCATAGAAAACTGCAAATGGATATAACCAATGTCCAATATACTTTTATTATTCTCAATATTATTGTTGTATTCAATAACTTCTGGAAACAATGTCCTTACAAATAGTCATATTTCATCAGAGTTTGTTCATTCAATAAAAAATATATTAGACCAAACCTCAAACATAATTGAGAAAATTGTCCCCCTTTTTTGTTCAAATTGGAAAAGGGACATTTTTTATATAAACCATATTTCTGGGGTACATTATAGACTATAAAGAGCAGTTTATATATCTTTCAGCTGGATAACTTGCTAAAATAGTTCTAAATTGCATGTACAGTGAGATTTTGGAATTCTTATATGAGTATTTACCAATTACCTAGATTGTAAAAGGCTATCACAAGATAACCAATAAAACTTGAAGAAAATCATAGGATTATTTGACCAATAGCTATTTTGTTTTACAATAAACAAGTCATTATATACATGTTTTATTAATTGCAATCCCCCAAAAATGCAAAAATAAGAATTTGAAGTCAAGTCTTGCTGCATGCATGGTGTGTGACCATAAAACATGTAAAAGGCTAAAATACCTAATAATGTCAATTTAAGAGCTGAAATTTCCCACTAACAGAACTGTTCATCCAAAAAAAAAGATGATTAAACATGATTACTTTCATCAAATATGACTTGTTTTTATTGGAATAAGTACAACTTCTAAAAACTGAATTTCTGATGATTATCTGTAATAAAAAGTACACCACTAAGTCATGGCCCTATTGCTTTCTATGTTAAATTCCTCAATTTCACGCAGAGTCAGCTCTTTTGTTTAAGTTCAAATAAAGTGACAATCATTGCATGTCAAAGCAACACTTTATGGTGTCTTGTAATGAAAAAAATCAACATAACTTTAATAACATATAAGAAAAAACTGGTTCCCATAATTTCGGATGTACCAAAACAGGTACTTCAGATCTGATAAACAGGCAAAATGTACCCTCTTTATAACATCTAGTGCAGTCTTTTTAATAATCACAATTAAAAGTTAAAAAGTGTTTAACAATGATCATCAGTCATTCGGCTTTCATTTGATACCAACAATGCATAAATATTCTACATATTTTGAAAGTTACACTCATGAGTAGGAACTATGTTGTGTTAAATATGTACTACTTTCTGGTTTGTGCTTTTTGGGCCGAATTAGTGAATTGTACTTTTTTGGCTTTATAACTATTTTTATCTGAGCGTCACTGATGAATCTTATGTAAACGAAACGCACGTCTTGCGTATTAAGTTATAATCCTGGTACCCTTGATAACTTTTTAGTGGTGTTACACCTTATGGCTCAAGGTCAAGATATCTTTCTTTAATAAGCAACTGTAAATGATTTGATTTTTCTTGGTATTGGTCTATTTCTGATAAATAATACCATCAATCATTTCAAAATTCTCCTTGTTTAAACAATATCGTCCTACAACTGGGTTACACTTGCACACTTTTCTCTGTCTGGTATATTTCCTTCTATTTTCCACTGGTGCAAATACGTCAAGTCTGTGTCTTCTTTTTGGAGAGACTGCATGTCGCTAGCTGAGTATTTAGCTAACCACTCGGGTCTGTTTGAGACCTGGCCAATACAGCTCTAACTGTAACATTGGAAATCGTTTTTTTTAAATCATCTACTTTGGTCTTGAAATTTTCCCATTGCTCATCTGACTCTTAACAGGCCTTACATGTATCTTTCAAGTTGTTTGAAGGTTGCACTTTGTAAATACAGCTGTTTCTCAAACCACGCCTCTTTTGGGGAGATCTAGAATATTCATAGAAAATTAATTTTGTTTACATAATGGTTCCCAGTTATGCTCTCTGTGTTGCATCTCACAGAGACATAAATTGGGAATGTTACCAGTAAATATACATGTGCATATTGTTTATATTGAAATCTGTGGTAACCCTACATTCGAGGTAGGGTAGTTAAGAAAATTAGTGTTAGTTTAAACTCTGAGAAGTTCAGGGCATATGAACGTTGAAAATATGCCGCACAGCCCCATATTTTGACCTTTGAAAAAAATTGTAGTGCATATGAACTTTCAATTCTAGGATAAGATTTTTTTCAAAACTTCATAGTAAAAGTGGTACAGTTTTAGCCGTAAAAGGAGTTCCTATGGGAAATTGCACTGTAAATATTTACAGAAATGCAACCTATGAAGAATGAATGTACTCTGTATCCCCATGTTCTTGTCGAGAAAGTGCATCAGGGTTTTGATGGTTAAACCACGACGGTGTAGTTGACTTTGAAGATCTTTGAATCCAAATAGCCATTTTAGAGACCCATGGTCAGTTCTGACGATGAATTTTCTGTATAATGTCTGTATTGGTGGACAAATGTTACCATGGCTAAGAGTTATCTTCTTGTGACGCGGTATCTTTGTTCTGTTTTGTCTAATTTCTTATATGCAAATGCGATTACCTTCGCATTTTACCTTCTTGTACTTGGTGAATAGCTGCACCTATACCATTTTTAGATGCGTCTGTGTCCAGGATAAATTTTCCATCTAGGTGTGGGTATGGCAATACTGGACTGGTGCACAAAGCTGTTTTCAAATTATCATAACGTCTTTGAGCAGCTTCTGTCCGATTGAACGTGACATTCTTACTAGTCAAATGGAGCAGCTATCTCACTGAAACCTTTGATTATCTGTCTAGAGTATGTTCAAAGTCCCGGGCACTTTTATACTTCTTTCATCGGCCTAGGGACTTTCTAGTTTTTCCCATTTTCAATAAGTTTTCTTATTAAGGGATTTGGTTTAATACCATATGTACATCTTGGAAGATCCTAACGAGTTCTAACTGAACAATATCTTCGTCACAGTTTGGCATAAATTTCTCCTCGTCAGTGCAGGAAATTGTGTTTGTGTTTACATCAGTTGAGATTGACATAACTGTGTTTTTTCTGCCGGTTTTTGAGTCTGTTAGGTTAACTTGGTGCTTGTGACTTTCAGAACATTATGTGTCCAAGATACAGTATTTTCTCTCTTTATCAGGTCACAATTTGATGAGTTTTTGGAATACGTCATCTATCTGGCTAAATTTCAAGGGAAATTGAAAATGAAAGAGATTTTTACAGACAGCAAAAGGTTCAACCAGATTATACAAAAGAACAGAATGTCCATCCAGATTATAGAATACAGCTAAATTTTCAACCAGAATATACAAGACAGCAGAATGTTGAACCAGATACAAGACAACACAATTGTCAATCAGAATATGCAAGTCAGCAGAATATTCAACCAGATACAAGACAACAAAATTGACAACCAGATTCAAAACAGCATAATTTTTCAATCAGAATACTAGTATACAAGACAGCAAATTTTCAACCAGATTATACTAGACAACAAAACAAATGCGATATCGAACCGTTTCTACATCTAGCATACAAGATAGTTATTACTCAAGACTACAATTCTACAACGGAAGATGTGACTGAATATAAAAAAAAAAGATGTGGTATGATTGCCAATGAGACAACTCTCCACAAGAGACCAAAATGACACAGAAATTAACAACTATAGGTCATCGTACGGTATTCAACAATGAGCAAAGCCCATACCGCATAAAAGGTCCCGAAATGACAATGTAAAACAATTCAAACGAGAAAACTAACGGCCTAATTTATGTACAAAAAAATGAAGGAAAAGCAAATATGTAACACATAAACAAACGACAACCACTGAATTACAGGCTCCTGACGTACAGTACATTGCAGATGCAATTCGAAATAATTGCTGAAAGAAATATTTTGGACGAAGACGTCAGGCTGAGAAAATATTACTGGTGCTTAAAGACGAAGCTGCAAAAAATACATTTGAGCTACCGTATGACACAGGAAGCTCATATCGACTTTTATCCAAAGATATGAGAAAAAGATTTGGAGATAACAAACAAGTTATTAAAGGTACCAGGATTATAATTTAATACGCCAGACGCGCGTTTCGTCTACATAAGACTCATCAGTGACGCTCAGATCAAAATAGTTATAAAGCCCAACATGTACAAAGTTGGAGAGCATTGAGGACCCAAAATTCCAAAACTACCTGCCTGAAACCTATAGAAAAGTGTTGCAATCTATCAATAAATGAATATGCTGCTCGCATTTAAACAATGGTCCGAAAGGCATATCCATGCATGGGTAATCAACTATTTAACAATATTTTAAATTAATATATGTTAAATGGATTAAATGATCAAAGTATTACCTATGGTGTTGTGACAAAAAGACCTCACACTATGGAGGAAACAATCAATTTTGTAGCATGGCACACTA